AGTTGCTGGGCTTCTCTATGCAAACTCTGTGCTTATTAGGATTTGATAATGCTAGAACTGCTCTTAAACAACATGTCTGGGATATAGATTTACAAACAAATTTAGGTAAGGTGTTGCACCCCAATATTTGTCAGTTTCTACCACAAGGGTTCATTCCAGCTTATTTAACATCTGTTACAATTCTGAAATTCCGTAAACCCATGCTGGCTGGGAATTCTGGGAGTTGAAGTCCACACGTCTTCAAGCTGCCAAGGTTGAGAAACACTGATTTAAATTGATCTAAATAAATGTTTCAATCCATGATTGTGCAGTCCTGGGCATTTCTACCCCGAAGTAAGTTCTATTCACTTCAAAGGGACTGACTCTCAGATAACAACATCTAACACGTTGGCTTTCTCAACCAAATGTTGCAGCTTTCCTTGTTTTAAATCTGGGCAGATTAGAGCAATGTGAACAAATCCAGAAAATATAAAAAACAATTTACAGAAACCTGTTTCCTTCTGTCTCTCTCTCTCTCTCTCTCTCTCTCTCTCTCTCACTCTCTCTCTCTTTTTTGCAGCCAGATCATCTCAGAGATGAAGAAATAGCACAGCTGGAAGAATCTCTTATGAGTCTGAATTGTCAAGAAAGCATGTGTCCATCTCTGAAGTTGCCTCTGTCTTTGAATTCTTCCCTTCCCACTTTGGATTCTTCACCTCCATCTTCCAGTCCTTCGGAGATTTCAAAGCCTTTGCTGCAAGAAGCTATCTTCACTTTCCAGGATCAGCAGTTTGGTGAGTATTTCAGGCAGGGACCTAAGACAACTCAAGAGAAAATGCTGTGGAAAAATAGGGGATGGAAGGGGGAAACATGATTGGGTGTAGACGTGTTTAGTAGGTACTCCAACAAGTATGTTGCATCCTGCAGTGCAACATCTAAGGAGACTTCTGTATAGAAAGTTGCCCATATTCCACAGGTATATGTGGCAGGAAGACCCACCATTTGACAGAGTGCAAATAGGGCCAGTGGTGATGTCAGGAAGAATCAAACCAACGGATGGGCCATTCCACATTTTTCTGTATTGTCAAGGGAAGGTTATAGATGTAAAAAAACTTCCTTGGATCAAGTGATTTGCAGAATGTAACAAAATCCTCCTGTTTAGGCTAAAATTAGGTCAGCAAATGTACAGGTAGTCCCCAGTTTAAGAATGAGTTCCCAAGGTCTGTCCTTAAGTTGAATTTGTATGTAAGCCAGAAGAGTATTATGTAAGTAGCATGGTGTAATGGACTCGAACCATTGTGAATTTAACTTGAATTTTGCTACAATAGCCTCCGTTCTTAGCTGTGAGTCATTCTTAACCCAGGGACTACCTGTATTACAGATCTCTCTCAGCAGTCATACAGCGACTGGACTGCTTTCTTCCTCCTTTCTCAGCATGGATGTCTGTGTAAAAGTTGTCTGTATGTTGGTACACTCGTTTTGTTGGTACACTAATTTTGCTACATAAATGCAGAAGAAAGCCTTGAAGATTTTTGCTACATCAAGGCAAGAGAATTCATTGAACCTTTTTGCTGTGAGAGAATTTCCTTCCTGTTGGGAATACCTCCAGGTGGCATCTTTTTTTCCGGGGCTTATGTGACGGCCCTCCAGAATTGGTGCATAATTCAGGAAAAGAGATATTTGCTTTATGACGTTCCCAACAGGAGCTACAGGCAGGCTCACGCATATTCCAAATCACATTTTGCCCTCTAAATCCAAATTGCTCCTCAGCCATAGAAATGATGTATGAAACCTCATTTTCCCAGACCGCAGGGAAGCACGACTTCTCATGAAACTGATTGAAATTCCACATCACTTGTCATCACTTGTGCAGCAACATTGCAAACGGTGTAAATTCATACAAGTGTTAGAATTTGCACTGAATGCAAATTACTTCATTATTACCATTGAATCATTATGCGAGCAGCTGCAAGGGAGGGCTCTGTGAGTGAACCGCCTCTGCCAATCAGACCATTCGAGCAAGGGTTCACCATTGTAGTGAAAGGAGAGATTGAAATAAAAATGGATTTCTTTAGCCTCCCCCAGGGGATGCATTGAAAACAGTTTCTTTTGATTGACCAATGCCATTCTCTAGAGCAGAACGGCCAAAAATTCAGCTTGTGGGCAGTGTCCAGCCCTTGTGCAATCTTGAAGGGCCCCCAAGAGTGTGCAAGGTCCCCCCAAATGGGGCCTTTTTAAATGTATTTTGGGGAATATTTTACACCTTAAATCTCACTCCCCGTTTGGCTCATGACCTGCCCATTCCTGGAGCATGGCCTTCAGCCGTATGCATAAAAGCAAGCAGGGGACAGACACACCACTCTGTGGGTTTTAGAAAGGAAATTATAATGTTTCCACCTAGCAAGGAATGATTATCAATTACCATCTTGGCTGCCCAGAGATACCAACTAATGTGTACCCGTTGCACAGATCATCAATTGTAGCTTATGAATTCGTTAGCTAGTTCTTTATTATGGTCACTGCCCAGAATTCTTTAAGTTAACAAAGTAATGAAACCGATTCTATTTCAAGTAAAATAAAAATAACAATCATAATTTTGTAACTCGATCACAGAAGGCGTCAAAGCCAGTCGGGTTTTCCAAACCGTATCGCAAAATGTTGCTACATTCAAGGCAACGGAATTGTTCAGTCTGGTCTGACAGGAGTAGCTGTCCATAAAATAAATCAGAATCGTCTGGGTATTTCCCCAAATAGGAATTATAAAGCAGACCCATGCATCTTTATAGAAGGCACTATATAACGGAACATGGGTTGTAGACTCAGTGGGTCTTACTCCGCATGGGCTCAATCATAGCTCGTAAGGAACTTTTTCATGTTTATCCTTGAGAACAACTGTTAGGGGGGTATTCAAATATGCCAGTGTTGGCGCTCTTTGGAGTTCAGGAACAATTATTTAGGAATGTTCTAGAGCAGTATTTGTCAACCCTGATGGCTTTAAGATGTGTGGACTTCAACTCCCAGAATTCCCCAGCCAGCATGTCCACACACCTTAAAGCAGGAA